GTTGACCTCCATTGGCAGTATTCGGGATTTTTTATCATTTCAATACTGGTACCTGCTTCACCAGAAACTTGAGTGCCAGTGAACTCTTGATGACACTTCTTTGTCCTATGAATGTAACCTTCTGGGTTGTGCCCTATGATGATTGGCAGAATCATATTCTTCCATAGTAGATAGTTATTTTTATCCAGCTTTACAGACAAGGTTTGAATGAGATTTACACCAAATGGTGAGAGCTCATTACTTCCAGCCAATGGTGTAGCGGTGCTGCTGGAGATGGAATCAGGGGCTGTGACTGGATTGGCATTTTGAGATGTAAGGCTGGCGTCTGCCATTAAGGCTCTGATACCAAGTTAAAATGTTAATGGCTGGAGATGATAATTTGCTCAACCGTGTTTTCATAGAGATTATTGTATATATAATACATGGCTATTGACACAAGAAGGTTCTAGAATAATACAGCTGTTAGGTGGTTCCTAAAATCAAGGATCATGTTGGAATCTTTAAATAACAAATTGGTGGTCCAACATAACAGCAAGGCAAACGGTTAGGACAGCAAGGCTGAGAGCTGGTGACTTGGTATGCTGATGTGGAGATGGATGAGCTGAGCTGAGCTGGTAGCTGGTATCAATTCTTAACAGTGTCAAGTGTGTAAAACCAGTCACAACTGACATTCAACCCCTCATCCATGGGCTATTGGACTACAATAAAGCTTAGTTTCCACTATTCAACATACATTAAATTCCCAGATTCGATATTCTTTGTTCGTATAATGTTCTAAACAGTTCCCATCAGCTTCTATATCTTCCAGTTCCTGTCAAATTCCTGGTGCTCGATTCAGATACCGATTCAGTTAGCCGATGCAGAAATTCAATGCTCAATTTTTGAAGGTTTCTCCATCGTATACTAGGAAGCAAACTGTCGCAGAATCCCCAAGCAATTATGGTAAGAGAGCAAATATGTTTTAAGGACACTGTAATTACATGGTGTTGGAAGATAAACCAAATTAATGTAACTGATGAATTCAATAAGCATTTACTAAACTTTATTTAAGCATCTACATGTATTTCAATAACCGATGGAATAAGTTAAAGAGTCA